GGCAATAGTAATAACTAGCAACTAGAAGATTTTCCTGTATATTATTGTACTGATATATATATGAATTGGTGTCGCCATGTTTCTCCTTTGTATTCCGATAGAGGAAGAGTAAAAAAATAAATAAAAGCTCTAGACCTCTGACGGAAGAAGCAGAGAATGAAAAACGCACCCTCAGTATCATTTCTTTCAAAAAGATGGTGCTCATTCTAAACATAGTAATTTTAATAGAATTAGTAGTTTAAATAACAGAAAGTTTGTTTGTAGTTAAGCACATAGCTACAAAATGGGCTAACTGGGCTTTGCTCACCACGGGTATCGAAACCCGGTTTCTAGCGTTGTAAGTCCGCAGACATACCGCTATGCTACTAGGGGGAGGGAATAATAGAAAGACTTGATAAAAACTTAGGACTATAAAATAATTAGTAAATACGAAAGGTGAATTTACTGGTGTCGGACAACAGTGCGTAATCATGTCCATCAGATTGAACACGATGAACGACGATAGAAGAGACAGTTCCAAGGACACACAAACTTATCAAGTATCTTATCGGTAGAAGATAGTTTGTACAAACAATTGATCTTGAGATTGTCATTTGAGTTGCGATGTTATTTTGGACCTGAAGTCTTGCTCATCATTACTAAAACGTGGTTGTTGTAAAGGATCAGGCAGTATTTTAAGTAATTCTTTATATCAGATATCATTGATAGGCTTCACTGAATGATAGTGACCTTAAACTGTAAACGTAGAACTTCTCCACGTCAGATATCGTGAAGAAAGATGGCATTCAATCCTTCACAGCAAACAACAATGAACCATAAATAGAAGCACCTCACATCACACACGAGGATTAAATATTAGTGACTGAAAACAGAATTGAACAATATACATTTAGTTTCTACGTCATGAAATATTCCTTGACTGGAAATGATATAAAAAATTCAGTTTTTAGACCTGATGTTTGAATACTTACTTCAAGATTTTGTCTCTTTAATTTTATGAGCCATGAAAAGTAGGCTTATTTTTTAAATAATGTAGAGAACTAAAGAAAAAGATGATAGTATCGATTATTTTTCGTTAATAGTTATTCATAACTTATCAGAGCTTACCTGTGTTATATTATGTGTTTTAAATGTTTTGTAGATAACTGTTTTGGATATATCAATAACAGTAGAAGTGTATGTTGTTTCTTTATCAGTAGAGTTATGTGTTGTTCTATTAGCCAGTATAATTATGTGTTGTTCTATTTACCAGTATAATTATGTGTTATTCTATTTACCAGTATAATTATGTGTTGTTCTATTTACCAGTATAATTACGTGTTGTTCTATTTACCAGTATAATTATGTGTTGTTCTATTTACCAGTATAATTATGTGTTATTCTATTTACCAGTATAATTAAGTGTTATATTCTATTTACCAGTATAATTATGTGTTATTCTAATTACCAGTATAATCATGTGTTAATTTATT